TATATTTTTTGCTTCTATTTTCTCACTTTTTACTATGTCACCCCTTGCCGTATGGTTTCGGTGTTCCTCCTCCCTTTTCCATTGACTAAAATGATTCTTTCTAAGGTCACCAGCAATCTCTTAACTTTGGCTTCTGATCCACTCCTCAGTCTTTCTCCTTCTGGACTTGCCTTCAGATTTTGACACTGCTGACGACACTGAATGCTCTCTTGTTTCTTCGCTTACAGGACAACTTGTCTGACTTTCTTCTTACCTGTTTCCTTTGCTGGGTCACCATCCATCTCTAATCAGCCCACTTGCAGCCAAAGATGTCACCCAGGGCTCTCTTTACATTTTCTTGGTGTGATCTCATCATCTCTGTTGGGTCCAGTTATTATCTCTATACAGGTGACTCCCAAATCTATATACCCTGTCCTAATCTCTGTCCCGAATCCCAGTCCTGTGTCACCTGCTGGACATCTCTACCTGGATGTCCTCTTGCAAACTCAAACTCAATGTGTCTACATTGGAGCTTATCATTTTCTTCTCCCAAATAAAACTTGTCTTTAGATGTGCCTGTTTCTATTATTGGTTCCACCATCATTTCACTCACACACGTTTGTATCAAGGTATTGAGGCAATGAGGACAACTCCTTGGCCTGTGGCCCTGGTACTATGCAAAGCAGCCCTAGTACAGAAGGGAGTCACTGCCTGGCTGACACTGTGGGGCATTGCTAAGCCCTAATACAGGGCAGCACTCAGCTCTGGCACTGGAGGGCAGAGTTAGGCCCTAGCACCTGTCATAGAATTCCTGCCCAACTCAGGCTTAAGGCAACGTGGCTCTGGCAGAGGGGATTGGAGTCACACCTTCGTAGAAGGGGCAACACAGCTTTGGCGTGGAGTTGATGGGGAATCAGGTCCTAATAGTGGCAGCAGCACATAAAAGGGCTATGAGCACGGCCACACAAGAGGGCAGTGGCCATGTTCCCAGCTATGCCCTAGGGAGATGCTGCTTGGTGCCAGCAGCAACAGGCAACAGTGCTGCCGCTAGTGATAGAGGCAGTAGCAGCGGGCACCAGCAGAAGGTATCGCAAATGTGGTAGCAAACACCCTCCTGTTCTGAAAGTAGAGGGGTCGGAGTCATGGACCTCAAGAGAGCGGGCACAGTCTTAGACAGTTGTAGAGACATGCTAAGTGCAACCTTTTCCTTAAAATAATCTGGAACTAATTGGCCCCTTCACATTGCTGCCAGTACAGTACCCGAGGGCATTGGATAATTACTTCCCAGGGAAGGCTCAGGTAGCCATGGAGTGGCTTTTTGATGATAGGACAAAAATGAAACAGTCTGCCCAGCTCTCTCAGAAGCAGGTCCAAGTGGCAGTGGAGTTAGTCAACTGGTAAATAAGCATTTATTAAGCACTTACTATATACCAGACTCTGTGTTAAACACTGAGGATAGAAAGAAAGGGAAAACCAGTCTCTGCCCTCAGACTGTTTGTATTACATACAAACGTTTGCACTATGTACAAACAAGATATATACAGGATAAATCTGAGGTAACCTCAGAGAAGGAGCTAGCATTCCGGGGGGCAGAGAAAGTTTTCTTGCAGGAGTTAGAATTTTAGCGGAGAAACGCAAGAAAGCCAGGGAAGCCGGGAGGCAGGGATGGGGAAGGAAAGAATTCCAGGCATGGGATTTTTCCTGCGAAAATGCCTAGAATCAGAAGGTGGAGTGTCTTATGTAAGAAACAGCAAGGTTGTCCATGTCACTGGATCATAGGATATGTGGAGGGGAGGGAAGGTCCAAAGAGAGAGGGAATATAGGAAGAAGCCGGGTTATAAATGGATTTAAAAGCCAAACAGGATTTTATATTTGACCCTGGAGGTAATAGAAAGCCACTGGACTTCTGCAGAGTAAAGGGATGTGCCTTGGACAGATCTGTGTTTCAGGAAGATTGCTTTGGTCACTCAGCACAGGAAGGCTTGGAGTGGAAAGACTTGAGAATCCAACCAGAAGGCTGTGGCAGTAGTCCAGGCATGAGGTGATGAAGTGGTGGCATTGTCAGAAGGAAGGAAGGGGGTATTTGAGAGGTGCTGCAAAGGTAAAATCAGCTGGCATTGGCAACAGATTGGATATGGATATGGATAATGAGATCGGAAAGAGTTGGGGGTGACACTTAGGTTGGGAGCAGAAAGACTGAGAGGATGGCGGTGCCCTCGACAGGGTTAGGCAGATTTGGAAGGGGGAAAAAACTGGGGGGAAAGAAAATGAGTTCAGTTTTGGACATGAGTATAAGATGTCTATGGGACATCCAATTTTAGGGGTCCAACAGGCAGGAGGAGATGTGGGTCCAGAGGTTGGCAGAAAGATTAGTGGTAGACTGCTTTCTGATGAGGGGAAGGGGGAACTAGTACAACTGTCTACCTGGTCCCTGTGGAAGAAAGACCTCAGAAGATGACCCTAAACAAGGACTGAGGGACGTTACAGGGATGAGAGCCATGCAGGCTTCAGTACATTAAACCAATACCAGTGAATAATGATTTGGGAAATTATAAAAAGGACAGTGTCAGAGAAACCTGGGGAGATTTATCTGAACTGATCCAGAGGGAAGTGAGCAGAACCAAAACTACTATATACAATAACAAAGACATTGTGAAGACAAACGACTTTGAAGGACTCAAGAACTTTGATCAGTGTGACCAATCATGATTCCAGACGCTCGTTGACAAAGCAGTGCTATCCACCACCTGACTGAGAGGTAAAGGACTCGGGATACAGAATGAGACTTAGATTGTGGCCAATTATGGCCAGTCATGGCTGATGCGGCAGTTTGTTTTTTCTGACTAGGCGTGTCTGTTACAAGAGTTCTATTTTTCTTTTCTTTTTAAAAATAGCCAGGGAAGTGGGAGGAAGAGATAGAGATTTCTGTTCATTGAAAAACATTATTATTATTGTTATTTTTGCAAGACACTTGGGGTGAAGTGACTTGCCCAGGGTCATACAGGTAGTAAGTGTCAAGTGTCTGGTTTGAGGCTGGATTTGAACTCAGGTCCTCCTGACTCCAGGGCCAGCGCTCTATCCACTGCGCCACCTAGCTGCCCCCTACATAGCCTTTTTGCCTTGACATGCTACTCTGGTTGGTTAAAATGGGGCTGCAAGATGACCTAAGACAATTCCAGAAGACTCATGATGGAAAATGCTCTCTACATTTAGAGAAAGAACTATGGAGTCTGAATGCAGATCGAAGCACACCGTTTTCACTTTCTTTTGTTTTTTGTTTTTTTCTTTCTCATGGTTTTTTCCTTTTGTTTTGATTCTTCTTTCACGACATGATTAACGTGGAAATATGTTTAATGTGGTCATACATGTATAGCCTATATCAGATTGCATGCCATCTTTGGGAGGGGGAGGTGGAAGGAAGGGGGAAAATTAGAACTCAAAATCTTATAAAAACGAATGTTGAAAACTAAAAATAAATAAATAAATAAAGTGGGGCTGCAAGAGATATTTTTTTATCCCAACCTTTTTATATATTCAACAGTAGTTAGGGGCGTAATTGAACACAAACAGCAGAAATATATTGCCAACAAATAACTGGAAGATGAAACAGAAATCAGTATTTTAAACTGCTGAATCTTCAAAGAAAAAAAAAGAGATGGCTTAAAAGGAGTAGGAGGAACACGCAATGCTGGAGAGACTTAAAAGACTCCAGTCATTTGGTTGAGGGCCAATGAAGCCTCTAATTTTGTGTGTGTTTATGGGAACTGAATTTCTCAAGCCAATAATGGGTTCAGTGGGAGGTTGGGATGCTGAGAGTTGTCTCTGGGTGGAGTCTTTCCCTAGGTGGAAGATTTGGAGTAGTACTGCAACCCACCACTCCTCCCCAATATTGAACTTTTGGGGGAAAAAGAACACAGAGGAGTATGCTTCCATTTGATTCCATTTAATAAATGTTTATCAAAGTGTATTGTTACATCATGCACACTTCGTGTGTGTAATGTCTGAAGAATGGGAAGTTTTTGTAAGGATTTAAAAATATTAATCGAATGCCAGATCAATGGCCAGATGCCAGAAGAAAACTTTGCTTGTCAAAAGTTATAGAATTGAAAGAATTGGGGGGAAACTAGGAATTGATGGGTAGAAGTAACAAAGGAGAAGATTTAGGCCGGATGCCAAGAATGAGGGCTACTTTGAGAAGAAATGGGCTTTCTTTGGAGGTCTTCAAGCAAATTCTGTGTGCAAAGCCGCCATCTTATAAGGTATCGGATGTGATCCACTTTGAACAGCAAAGTAGGATTCTCTTGACTGTTTCGATTCTTGGTTTCCTCATTGGAAAGCCCCTCTGAACCTCCTCCCTCCATCTACTCAATCGTAAGACAGTGCGTCTCTTCTTTTCTTTGCTTGTCTCCTGTGTCTGGAAGGCTCTCTTCTCACCTCTGCCTTCTGGTTTCCTTCAGGTCTACTTGATGTGAGAAGCCTTTCTCAGTGAAGTCTTTCCCAGTCCCCATAAACGATGGTTTCCTTCCCCTCTGGGATGATCTCCAATTTATCCTGAATATATACCTCGTTTGTACGCAGTTGTTTGCACACTGTCTCCTCTCTTAGACTGTCAACTCCTACAGGGCACGGACTGTTTTTGCCTTTCTTATAACCCCAGTGCTTGGTACAATAACTGGCACATACTTCCTAAATGCTTCTTGAACATGACTAATATGGAAATATGTTTTACATGATTGAACACATATAATCTATGTCAAATTGCTTACCGTTTTAGGGAAAGGAGAGGTGAGAGACAGAAGGAGAAAATGTGGAACTAAGTTTTTTTTAAAAAAATGAATGTTAAAAGTCTTTACATGTAATTGGAAAAAAACCAAAATGCTATTCAACAAAAAAGTAAATGAATGAATAAACAAATAAATGCTTCTTGACTTGGCACCCGAGGGCATTGTACTAGGTAATAATCTGTGAGGTCTGTTCCAGCCTCAAAATTCTATGTTCTGTGTTCTGTATTCTCAGTTTCATGTTGGGCAGGCAGAGGCATTCAGAAGAGAACACAGGGAAGCTGCTTTTGGGGATTGTTGATTCGGTGGAGTCTGAAAGGCTCCCAAATCCTAGGAACTTGGAGCGGACCCAGAACTCTAAAAGAAGCCCCAGGAGGCGAGGCGAGGCAAGGTAAGAGAGGACCCCAGATGCTGCTGATGGGTCCCGTCCAGAGCTGATGATGTTTGACCTTGGGCTGTTCAATGAACCAACTGGGAGTAGTCTTTGGGAGCCTTGGGCAAACTGCTTACTCTCTATGACCTTTAGTCTCCCCACCCGTAAGAAATGAGGGAATGGAAATAATATATTTTTTTCAAATCTAATGATGGGATGTATGATGGGATGATCTATGATGGGATGTATGAAGAAAAAAAATTAACTACCAACTAAACAAAAATAAGTTTGAAAATAAGGTGAGTACTGAACTTCATTTCTCTGCCTATAAAATGAGTCAATCATCCTGGAGGTCCTTTCTGGAGCAGCTAGATGGTGAAGTGGATAGAGTGCTGGGCCTGGAGTCAGGAGAACTGAGTTCAAATCTGGCCTCAGACACTGGCTAGCTGTGTGATCCTGGGCAAGTCACTTCACCCTGTTTGCCTCAGTTTCCTCATCTGTAAAATAAGCTGGAGAAGGAAACAGCAAACCACTCCAGTATCTCTGGCAAGAAAACCCCAGATGGAGTCACGAAGTCAGACATGACTGGAGCAACAGCAAAAGGTATTTTCTAGTCTTAACATTCCAAGGATTCTAGGATTCCACTGAACTTACTTATTATTATATGTAAAGTCTGAATAGACAAAAGGTTATTCACTTGTGTGTGTGTGTGTGTGTGTGTGTGTGTGTGTGTGTGTGTGTGTGTGTGTGGTACCCTGGCGTGTGCTGGAGCTAGCTCATAGAGAAAGCTGACTTAAATTTTCAGGGTGAGCATTTGCACCTCAAAAATCAGCAAATGGGGGCAGCTAGGTGGTGCAGGGAATAGAGCACCGGCCCTGGATTCAGGAGGACCTGAGTTCAAAGCCTCAGACACATAACGCTTGCTAGCTGTGTGACCCTGGGCAAGTCACCTAACCCCATTGCCTAACCAAAACAAAACAAACAAACAAAATCAACAAATGGGAGCAGCTAGGTGGTGCTGTGGTTTCAAATGCAGCCTCAGACCAAACATTTAACACCAACTGTGTGACCCTGGCCAAGTCACTTAACCCCAATTGCCTAAAAATAAAAAAAAAATTTAAAAACATCAGCAAATGCCACATCTCAAGGCTTGATGCATCGTTTTGTTGATTGCTTAGACTTAAGAAAGTGATGGAGAAAATATTAATAATAGAGATTAAACTTAAAAGTGTGCCATGTATATATTCCCCCTTCCATGAAACCAGGTGTTAAACATTTACCAGCATAGCCCTTCATGCCCACACTTTGGCAGTCTAGTGAAATCTATGAACCCTTTCTCACGATGTTTTTAAATGTGTGAAATAAAATGCATAGCATTACAAAGGAAACCAATTCTATTAAAATAGTTATAGATATGTTAAAACAAAACCTCGTTCATGGACCCTGGGTTAAGAAGCCCTGGTAGACCAAGATGACCCAGGGGAACCAGTGTAGGGTAGTAGAATGTGCATTGAACTGGGAGTCAAGAGAGCTTTAGTCTCAGCTCTGCCATTCATTTCCGGCATCACTTTGAGTAAATTACTTCCTTGGACCTGTTTCCTTTTCTGTTTTTGTTTGTTTGTCCATTCTCTAAGAGGATCATGACCTCAGGGAGGCAATGCCATGACATGCAGGTGAATTGGATTTAAGTGAGGCAGGGCTGTGCAAAGTCACCAGCCTCACTCTCACCTCTGGAGCCATCTGGGTCCAGTGGCGAGATACACACCAGGATGACAGTAAAAATGAGGGCATTGGATTAAGCCAATCTTAGGATCGTAGATTTAGAGATGGAAGGGACCTGGAAGGCTATCAAGCTCAACCTCTTCATCTTACAGATCTAGAAACTGAGGTCTAGAGAGGTTTGAGTGGCTTGCCTAGGGTCATATACCTAGCCTAGGACAGAGGGGAGATGTGAATCCAGATGGGAACTCAGTGCGTTTTCCACCATGCCACTGATCTCTGAGATACTTTGCATATCTAGTCGATCATAGTTTTGGTTTTTTTTTTGGCTAGGCAGTGGGGTTAAGTGACTTGCCCAGGGTTCACACAGCTAGTAAGTGTTAAGTGCCTGAGTCCAGATTTGAACTCAGGTCCTTCTGAATCCAGGGCCGGTACTCTATCTACTGCATCACTTAGCTGCCCCTTCCCCATCATAGTTTTTTGATTAAAGATTTTTGACCTCCATGTCATACTGATCAGTGTATTTGATTTAATTTTAGACTGATGTATGCTGAAAACTATAGGACATCTAAAAGATAATATGGAAAAAGAATCCCAATACCTTTTTGGGAGCATCCTTTATTTGCTATAGAATTGTTTCCAGGTCAATCTTGCCAGTTTCTGAAATCTTACATTCAAATATATGAAGGATTTCTATTCTAGACAAACAGCATGGAAATCCTCTACCTTAGCTGACCTCTCTCTATGCTCATTCAAGGATGCTGACTTAGGATCATAGAATTAGGGCTGGGAGGGATATTAAATCCTTGGAGTCCAACTGTCTCATTTCACAGATGAAGAAACTGAGGCACAGAGCATTTAAGTGACTTGCCCAGGTTCTCTTGCTCTAAATTTGCCAGTGGCCTCTGACCAATGTGACCTGATGGAACTATCCTAAATGGAAACTCGAGATTTTTTTCCCCTAAGGGCAGAATGTGAATGTATACTGAGAAACCCTGTGGTATAATAGATGGAGAACCACCCTCGGAGTCAGAAATAGTCAGGTTCAAGTCTGGCCTCTGTTACATGCTGGGTGTGTAACCTTGAAGCATATTATTAACTTCTCAGTGTCCTAAAAAATGGTCTAAAGCTATAAATTGTGTTGCCAATATGCATTGCTAGAGAGAATTTCTTTACCCAACGGTTCCCTTACACGAATAACATCACAGATCTGGACCAAAAAATGCACATCAGCTCCTAGGTTTGACATCCTCAGAAGCAGATAAAATCAGAATTATGGATTAGACACTTAAGCTTTCCATAGTCCTCTGGAAAATGCATTTTTTCCACCTGGAATTCTGCAGGTCCACATGACTTTGTGTTATTGGTTTTTCCTTCCAGAAGATGGCGATAGAGCGTCATAAATGACAGTCCACCCATGTCAAAAATGTTGCTTCTCCAGAGCATCTTTTGACCTTGCAGATCAGAGCCCTTGACCTGTGTTGGATACTGTTTGGGGTGTTGAGAGGATGTTTTCATCCTTTCCCACTCATCCTCCATCATTTGCTTAACTTATGCTGTTAAAACGGGGATGCAGATTAAATGTAACTTTCTCCAGTGAAAAATGACTAATTATACTGGTTCTTCTGAGAGGGAGACAAGGATAGCAGGAACTCTTGATCCTAGGGTTGAAAATGGAACTGCAAAACAATATGGCAGTAGCAATATTGGACAATAATAGTCACTGGCTTTTCTAGAGCTCTTTAAGGTTTTTAAGGGTAGGATTTGAACCCAAGTCTTCTGACTCCAAATACAGAATTCTGTTTGTTATGCCAAGTAATGCCAACTCTGTCAGATAATGTCTGATCCTGAGTATAACCTGTATTTGAGATTGGCTAGAGGAACGAAATCATGTGTTTGATAAAATATTAGAGACAGGAAGTTGTTGTTCAGTCAGGTTTTCTTGGCAAAGATACTGGAGTGGTTTGCCATTTCCTTCTCCAGCCCATTTTACAGATGAGGAGACTGAGATAAACAAGGTTAAATGACTTTCCCAGGGTCACACAGCTAATAAGTATCTGAGGCCAGATATGAACTCAGGAAGATGAGTGTTCCTGACTGGCACTCTATCCTCTGCACCACTTAGAGACAGGAAGACCTGAGTTCGAATCCTGTCTCAGACACATGCTAGCTATATGACTCTGGGCAAGTCACTTAACCTACTCCAACCTCTTCTCATCTGTAAATGGGGATATGATAGCACCAACCTTACTGGGTTGCTATAAGGATCTAATATATATAAAGACCACCATATAAACTAATCTTTAAAAAAATTATTTTTAATTTTCAACATTTACTTCCATAAGATTTTGAGTTCCAGATTTTCTCCCCTTCCCTCACCTCCCCCATCCCAAGATGGCATGCAATCTGATATAGGCTCTCTATATACATTCATATTAAACATATTTTCACATTAGTCATAGTGTAAAGAAGAATTAGAACCAATGGAAGGAACCATAAACTAATCTTTACCATAGAATCTGGGCATTTTTTTTCCTTAAGGGGGAGAGGATCTCAATGCTTAGGAGATTATACTACAAAACTTCCTTTTTTAGGCCTTGTAGCATCATTGAAACCTTAGCCTGATATCACAATACTCCAACCAGCCTGTTCACCTATCACTGCCCCTCCCCCAACCTGTTGCTTTTATTTATTTATTCTCAATCTGTAGGATTCATTTTCAGCTCTCGTTTATGTTGCCTGTCTGTTAGGTTGAAACTGCAAACTGGAAGCAATCTTATTGGAAATGGGATTGCTGTTTGGTCACTTTGAGGATCTAGGGGAAAAAAATCAAGCAAACTTGGAGAACCAGAGCTTTGTGAGAAATTGGAATGCATAATGGGAAGGGGAAGCTTGAAAGTGGAGAGGCAAGGAAGCCATATGGGGGACTGGGCATAAGACATAGAAAGGGGGAGAGTGCTAAGGAGGAGGAAGGCTTTAGAGAGCACAGGAAGAGACAATAAGGACCTTCTTCAAATCTTAGAATGTTGGAACTGACACCTAATGTTCTAGGATTCTGTACTTCTTAGTGGAATGTATGGAAGAGAAAAAAAGAGAACTACTAATGAGTTAATAATTGTAAAGAGCTTAGTATAGTGCTGTATAAATGTTAGCTATTATTATTATTCATCAAAAAGTACTTGTGTGCTTTTTAGATCATGATGCAATAAAAATTATATGTAATAAAGGGCCATGGAAAGATAGACTAAAAAATAATTGGAAACTAAATAATCTAATCCTAAAAAATGACTGGGTCAAAC